AACGTAGGCTTCTGATTGGTTGCTTCGGGATTCCTCGAAAAATATAGTTCTCCCTCTGCGAATCATATTTTGTCACGCTAAGTCTGCTCTGATTGGTTGCTGAATCAGCCTTGCTCATATTTTCTCACGGCCACCTCTCACCACAGGCATACACACTGATTTATGAGTACTGAATGTCTGTCTTTCTCGTCTTTCCTATCCTACCTGAGTTTGAAATCCTCATGTGTACTGACCGTCTGTAGTTGAAGTGAAGCTTTCCAGACGTGTGCAAGAGGTAACCTCCTACAAATTTCTTCCGTTGTTAGGGATTAAGGCTTGTCGTTGTTGTCATTGTTGGTGGTGACTGGCGGCTAAGATGAAACTTAAAGTGGACTCAGAGAAGACAGAGGGGATGGAGATGACCAACCAACCAACCAACCAAGAACAATAACAACAACTAGCACCAGCCAGCATCTACGGGTGAAATTTGAAGGAAGTTACGTTAGCAAAATTTTTGGATCAAGTGTCTGTTAGTTGTTGTTGTATTCAGTCATTCACTTCGCTATTGAGCACAGATTTCTTGGCTTGGTCTTCTCAGGTAACTGAATGGAAGTTTTTCTCCGAGTCCTTTGAATACTGCCACTGCTACAGGTATTTATCAACTGATAAATACAAGTAGAGATAATGTCAACAGGATATTCATCAATTTTGAGCGGGTTTAACACGCATCTGTAATTGTATAGTGTTAAATTTAGCCACTCTGGTAGAATATAATTCCATTTTGGAAATGTTTATTTGGTATACCTGACTGACTGAGTGAATGGTTTCAACATAAAACATTCTGCAGATGCACAACAGTTCCCGCTACTACACTTCCTCTTTATAGAACACAAATCAAGAGGGAAGGGTAAACTGAGATAATAAACAGAAGTGTGAGTGAGGGAAAGAGTGTAGTATAATATGGAAGAAAAACAGGGCTTTATTAGTAATGATAAATTTGAGACAGCCATTCAGAACGATTTTGGAGGCATACCACCAATAGTCTCCAGCCTTCAATGGTTTTTCCTAACCCAAGGACCCCAGTCACACAGCCAGACAGCCTAAGCCTTCCTACGTGGCTGGCTATGTCAGTGGCTAAGATTTCCCGACGATGAAGGCGATGGCAAAGGATGCACGTGTAACACACGTTCTAACCATTTCAGTCGATGTAACTTCACAGTCTCGTTGATTGATTTCCCCTCCTCACCTAACACTCGACTGATGTCTAACCTCAATATTGTTATTATTATTACACCACTTAACGCGAGACATAGAACGCAGACACCTGTGATCAAAGACAGCTGGCCAGGCCTTTCATGTCCTCCACTTTCAGTGGCCATGTCTCACAGCCGCAGAGGAGGATGAAGCTAACTGCTGAGAAATACACGAATCCTTTGATCGATAGCCAGGCAGATATGCAGTAAGTTCGCAGGCATATACCAAACGAGCCTTCTGCATCCGTGCTGAGATTTCGTCAGCGATCAACTCATTGTCATTGGCTGATGCAACTCCCCAAGCAAATAAAGTAATCAAAACGCCCCACCAACCACTTCACTCCATATCTTCAGGCTAGGAGTCAATGTACTCTAGTCCTGTAGTCTTATCATCTTACATTTGACAGGAGTGGGTGAACTGCATGCCAAACATTCGCAGATTGCTGCTCGAGGTGTTCAGAAGACTCTGCACTTTGTCAGCGTCTTCGCCCTTGTGGGAGGACTATATCATCTGCATATTCTAAGCCGATGGGATTATTCCCTAGTGGTAACAAGTGAGTCTTTGAGGTCATTGGAGTTTATTGCAATGGTGCTTCTATAAATGGGGACAGTAGGCACCCCTTTTGGACAACACTGGTTATCATCACTCCAGATGAAAACTTTCCATAAGCTCTTACCTGGCTTCGTGAGTTCGAGATGCTGAGTTTGAGCCTCGATAGGTTAGTACTGCCGAAGAGTCCCAAACTATAGGGACGAAATAGCTGTTAGCTTTTATTAATCCTCTAACTAACATCAATACTTGATCAAACGTGAAGCAGATCAAAACTCTACCAAATAAATCTTGGAAAGCATCCCAGATTGATAGAGGACTGATGAATACAAGTCCCCAGTGTATGGAACTTCAACAAAATGGAATCAAGTGAAAAAAAATGGTATATGCTCTAGTTCGACCCAATAAACTGAAGATTATCAGTGGTAACTTATGGCTGTACAGCTAATTTTAACTATAGAGTTAGTATTTCAAAAGCATACGAATAATGACTTCAATAACCCTAAGGGAATTACAGAGTGAAAATGCCTAATGAAACCACTAATTGGATAGCAGTGAAAAATCAGAAAAGATTGTACAGCTCGATAATAAATTCGTTGAAAAGAGTCTCTTCGCTGAATCACTCGTTTCGATTTTCTATATGTTACAATGGGAAGTTTTCATGAGTTAAATAAATAACAAAGATACTTTTTAATACCCTCACGTTGTCCCACCCCACCTATTGTGTGATTACATGCAAGTGGAATCAGTGCAGTGGTTGAGCATTCTTCTAGGTTATATAACTTAGCAAGGTCAATTATTCCAGTGGTCTAGCTAAATTTTTTTTGTTCCAATTATCCACTTGACCTCGATCGACTAGTTTGAGCAAGGTAACTGACCTCCCTTACCGTCATTACATGATATGTGATATGCATCCACATATATATATATATGTGTGTGTGTGTGTATGGTGATCTCTCTTTCTGTTTGCTCGCTTAGTCTGTGACCATTTCACTTTGATGAACCTGTCTCTTTTAACAATGTATATTCCCCTTATATTATATATAATATGAGTGTTTGTTGACAGTCCGTTGCTTGGTGACATATATCCATATTATATGTGTGGTTGTTGACATGTCTGCTATATTTTGCTATGTATATATGGATCGATACTCCATTATAATTAGCCATTCATGTTAAGACTGTCTATTGATTTGTTCACACACTTGTCTGGACATTCATATATATTTCGCTCACACAATCTTGTGTGACCACCTTTGGTGTGATACCACACTTTTGCATTCTCCTTGTGTTTGGAATATAGAAGTATCATCGCAAACCTAGTGGTCTTCTGATTTCCGCCTTCTTGCGCCAGGACTATTAAATTCTTGACCAGTACATAGCAATAATTTGGCGACGAGTACATAACAATATGTGGTAAACTATATTTATTATTATTATTTCTCCCTTGGTTTCGTAGTGGAACATAGGGCTTCAACTGCACGTCTCCATTTGCTTCTGTCTTCTGTTGTACTTTTCGCCTGCATCCATGTTAGTCCATATTCTTTCAACTCCTCTTCACACGATCTCCTCCATGTCACCCTTGGAGGGTCTTTTGGCTCCTTAATCCAACAAAGTTTACCTCTGAGAGAGTTGGTTGGTTAATTTAAATGCCACCCTGACTAGTTCCAGCTTCACTGAGAATCCTAAGTAAGGCCTGTAATGTTCCTTCTCTACACGTCAGTACTACAAAGGCTTTGAACTCTATATTGTTTACGTCATTTTTATTGTTAATCTTAGTTTTTCTATAATTTTTCATATATTACTGAGTAAATTCTGATGGGTAGTCATTCCTTCTCACACGATCTCCTCCATCTCACCCTCAAGCTCATATCTAAATCATCACTTCATACTCAGATTTCACTAGACAGGATGGCTTGGCGCATGACTTCATTTAGTGGTCTCTTCAGCGGGCATGCACAGTTGATCTCCTTTTCGTTTTTTCACATTCGCTGGGCAACAGGTTCTTGATTGGTTCGTTTGCAGAGTTTCTTGTTGCTAATTTATTATTATTTCCTTTAGTTCCTAGAGGAACATAGGACTTCAGCAGCACGTCTTCACTAAGTTCGGTCCTCTATCAACGTTTTCGCCTGGCTTCACGTCCGCCTACATGCTTTCATTTCCTCTTAGCATCACCTCCTCCTCCCCCACGTCACCCTAGCACTGACGACTGATTCCCATTTGAGTTCCACTCGAGCAGTGGCCTGGCATGTGATGCCACTTGATAATCCTTTCAGAGTATGGCCGATCCACCTCTATTTCTTTCTACATATTTGTTGCACAATCGGTTCCTAGTTGGTTCGCTCCTAGAGATCTCTATAGATGATCTTTTCTGGCCGGCCATCTGGTCTTGAGTAGTATTGAGCGAAGCCAGTTGTTGATGGTGGTGTGTAGTTTGTTCGAAATGTTCCACGCGCGATGCCAAGCCTCTGATCCGTATAGTAAGTAGCACTGACTTCACATTGGAGTTAAAAATCCTGATCTCATTTTTGATGCTGAGTAGTGCTGTTGACCTCCATACAGACTTAAGAGTAATGAAAGCTTGAATTGCTTTTCCGATTCTGGCTTTGATATCCTCATCAGTTCCGTCCGCCTGTAGTTGAAACGATGCTTCCCGGGTAGTTAGGTAGGTTAAGGAAGTCGTTTCTTCCAGGTTCTTTCCATTTATGCTGATTGTTGTCTGGTGTTGTTATTGCTGTTGGCGTTGGCCAGGAATCTTCATCACCTCTGTTTTCTGTATGTTCACTTGAAGTACTTCTTATCTTTGATGCTTCGTCTGCCGACTTGTTGCTTTTCACTTGCATATCTTCCAGTTTGTAGGAAATCAGACATATATCATCATCATCAGCGAAGTTCAGATCTTCCAAGTGTTTTCGTGTGGGTCCATTTTATGTCTGTTTCCTCGCTGCCCACCGCTGTCTGTTGCATTATCCAATCTAATGCAGCCAGGAAAATCATTGGGAACAGTAGGCAGCCAACAACCAATTTTCTCTTACTCCAGTTTTCACTTCAACAGATTTGTGAGTTTCCCATTGTGGATTACTTGGCACGCAGCATTGTCGTACAATTGTATGAGGTGTATAATTGTTGGCGGCACCCTTGTTGCTAATGCTTTCTGATAATATATATATATATATATATATATTAAAGGTTCCATTGGTTTTCTTTTTCATCTATAGGTACCACCATCGAAATCGACTTGCATTAATAACAATAGCAATAGAGGAAGTCATCTTTCCATAAATATGAATAATTTGGAGCTGTTAACTGAAGTCTCCAAGCAACACTTACGGATTAGTTCTCTGGAGGAGACAAATCGTGATTTAGAAGAGAAAATTAATAAATTGGAGGTAAGTTGCTTGGTTGGTTGGTTGGTTGGTAATTGTGTGCTTCTAATCTGATTTAATTGTGGTTCATTCATAAATATGTAGAGCTTGGGCATTTTAGTAATATGTAATTCAATATTATTATTATTATTGTTATTGTTCCCTTGGGTTCCGTGTGGAACATAGGGTTGACTTCCACAACACATCTGGACTTTCTTCTATTTTCTGCTATCGTCTTCTGCTGGATCCACGATTGTCTACAATGTCTCATCTCTTTCTCACATGATCTCCTTCATATTACCCTAGCATTGACAACCCGCTCATCGCTTCCTATTTAGATTCTACTTGAGGGCTTGGTGCGCGACGTCATTCGATGGTTTCCCCAATGCATGCCTGGTCCATCCATCTACCTTTTCTCCTGCATATTTGTTGAGCGATCAAATCCAGTGAAATAGTATATCAGCTATGACTGCACAACTTCGAAAGTTTCGTTTGATAGTTTGCTTTATTCCTCCCACTCCTCGTGGGGGTAGTGGAATTTTCCCGATATCCTGTTAGACATGTGTTCATTCATTTCTCTTGGACGTATTTTCAGTCGATTCGATAAATAAGCCTTCCGTTATCAGTGTCTCTCGCCACCCTGTATATTATTAGATTTTAGAACTGTCATTTGATCCAATCTTATTGCATGGTTGTGTGTGTGTAACTCCATCAAGTGCTATAGCTGCACTTTTTACTAGAATTTTAAAAATCTTATTAGGGTTTTTGCGCTCCACTAGCCTGATCGACTCCGTTCCACTACTTTGACCAGTGTGTTCAACTTGACAATAATTGCAGGGTGTTAGATAAACTTAACTGTTTTGTTTAGTAGGCTTCATAGGATCCTTTAACCGACCATAAATTGTTTCTAAATGATTTGAATGCCACTTTGACTCCTGCATTTTTAAGAAGTCTAGGTAAGTTTTCCGAGGTCCCTTCTTTGCATGGATGTACTGCTGGTGTTTTAAGTGCACTGTTGTTGGTGTTATCATTCATGTCATACTTACTATTATATTATCAATTTTATTTTCGAAGTTTCCTTCATACTTCCCTATTAATTTTTCAGGGAAATTATTAATTACTTTAGGTGGACACTATTTAGTCACTAGTTTTATGTGTTTGGTCCTCTCTTTGCTGTAGATGGAATTCTATCAGTCAAGTTGGCAATATGGCCACCATTCTTATAAGTAGCTCGCCATCACAGTGCAGATTGATTTGATGATATTAGATAGTTGGAGGCAATCTGCAGGAAGCCTTCAACCTAGGTTTCGTGGTAGTTAGCACTCACCGACCAGTTAGCAAGGTGTATTTACAACCTTATGGGAACTCATGTGCTTTCTTAGATTCGAACTCCTGTGTCACTCAGTGAGTACCGTAGTCATAGACGTTACCACTGAGGTATTCGACCTGGCAATTGACTTCCAGTGGGACTGCATTGGCCACATTGCAAACTTGACCGATAGAATTCAAGTATTGGTTTTGTAGGGATTTTTTGTTTGATTGCATGGAGGGTTTCATCATGAGCTGACATCATTTTGAGAATCACCGAAAAACCTGGTGTTTCGTCAGCATAGTTTGCGACTCTTCATCAGTGCGCACCCACTGGGGTTCAAACCCCGGACCTTCTGGTTACAAGGCGAGCTCGTAGACCACTCAGCAGCCACTAGCACCCGATCCAATGGTCCACGAATTCTAACTTCTGCCAATTCACGACATGGCGCGACCATTTCGCAATGTCTTCTTCGATGAGTTACTGCCTCATCTCCAACCTGCTGTAGCCTACTGGTCTCGGCTTCCCACTAGAATGGTCTACTAACTAGCTCGCCTTGTAAGCAGGAGGTCCTGAGCTCGAATCCCGTTGGGTGCGCACTGATGAAGAGCACCAAACTAAGACGAAACAACTGTCCAGTACTCCCAGGTTTTCCAGTGATTCCCTAACTGATAGAATTCAGTCTGCACCAGGGTTGCGGATACGTCTTGTTGACTGGGGATTGCCAACTGGCAGGAGACCTAGGTCAGGCAAGGATTCCTGCCGACTGCCTCTAACCCATCTAATATCAACAAATTACTACGTATTGTAGATTCTCTTACATGCAATTACACATAACCTTAAGATAGGATGGAATAACAAAGTGGAGGGAGAGATTGATAATGGAAGCTTTGTTTATCTAATCGACTGAAAATACGTGGCTTATCAACGATTCAAAATATGTTCACTTGGACATCTGGAAACTTCTACTATCCGTACAACAAGTGGGAAGAAATAAAGAAAACTATAAAACGAAAATTCCGAAGTTATGTAGTTATAATTGATATGATTATGAACGATGATAAATTGTGTTCGAAACTTTTGCCATCCGGTAAATAATAGTGTTTTGTATGCAAAGACACTAGGATTGTTCCCTCGAATTTCCATAGCTTCGGCTAAGTGTAATAAACGGGTTCTGATTCTGTTCAAAAGACTCTATGGAATGCGATGGATAACTTTGAAGGCACTACTTCTGTCCACTTGGTGACCGCTATTAATCAGTCTAATGAGCAAAAAATAGAACTTCGTATGGATTTTATTCGACCTATTCCGAACCATGAAGGAAGATGCTGATTAATGCGTTTGTTGAGCTGTCTCGTTGTTCGGCCTATGTAGCCGGCTCTCTCCACAGGAGCAACTAAATTTGTAGACACACATAGAAGTGGCACAGCTAGGCAGCTAGTGTTTCGGTTGAGCAATCATAATTGGTAGGCGGCTGGAAAATGACAAACAAAGGGTGGCGGCAGTATAACTCCGTTTTTATCGCTTTCGATAACCTTAAATGTTTGACTTCACTAGCCACATCCCCATTAAATTACAATATCATGAACAGTTGTTTCTTTTCAACTGTTATCAGTTTCTCTTTATCTTACTTGGTGTTCATGTGTCTCCTTACAAATCTACTAGGATAACCCATTTGGACCAGCGTATTTTGGATGTATCCTAACGCATTTTGAAGGGAGTCATCTGTACAGATCCTTCTTGCTCTATTCGTCAGGAATCTGACCAAACTGATTTTGTATCGGTTTGGTACAAAACTGAGGAAATTTGCATATTGTCCTACAGATGTAGGTTTTCTACAGACATCTCTCTTGAATGATATTATAATTCATTTTCCACAGTATCAATGCTATATATGCGCTGAATGCGAGTGGCAAGCGACCGGACCAGGTTTCGTTTTCGACCAGTGGGTACCCAGCTGTAGAAATTTGTCAGTTGACCATTCCATGACAGCTTTCGATAAATCGATCTCTTCAGAGTTCCATCGGTCCTTCTTGATAAGTTCACATCGAGAAAAATGAATGCTAGACTCGTTCTCCATTTCGAGTGTGAATTTTATCGCAGGATGGCATTCATTAAATACACTTAATATATTATTCAGGTTACATTCAATATTACAAATAATAAAGGTGTCATCTACATACCTTTTATATACATTTGAAAGCTTTGGATTATAGGCTTCAACTGACCATTTTCTAGGCTGGACATAAAACAGTCTGCAAGGAGAGAACTCAAGGGAGAACCCCTCCCAATACCATCCTTCTGTCTGTAGATCGTTTCATTGAAAGTAAACTTTACATTCAATGTACATTTCAAAAGTAGTCTCTCATCTTCTGCAGGATACACGAGTTTATACTATGTGATGTATTTCGGAATTTCACACTCGAGGAATCATACCTTTAAAATATAAACCTTTAAATGACTTAATAACTTTGAAATGAATTTATGTACAGATATACCTCCACTGATGTGCAAATCCATGATTTCTCTTCTATAAATTCTCTATTCATACGCAAATGCCAAAGTCTTCTAACTAATCGTCAACATTTAATTTGTGGTTGGTGACTAGCAGTGGAATCCAGGATGCGCATATCGTCCTATTTGGGACTGGTGATCCGCATGTACTTGCATTCCCCAGTGAGTGATGGTGTTAACACCGAGGCTAGAACCCAGTAGCCATAGTTTCAAACGCCAAAGCGTTATCCACTCGACCACTTGGGCCACGACAGCTAGCCACCTCTTGTGCAACAGGTCATATCAATTATGTGATTGAATTTTAGATTTAAAAAAAATTCTAATCAAATGCCAAGACATCGTCGAAGCATTTGTGTAAGGAGCCAACATGTCAACTTGAGACCGAGCACTTCAGTGCAATCAATCGACGGGAAAATCTAAAATTCAATTAAATCGTAAACATGCTTTGAAACTTGACTATTGGATATATCATACAGTGGAGCAGTGTTCCTCGAAACATTATTGAGTGAACAGTACAGTTTCACTGTGTGTGTGTGTGACAGATCTAGGAAGCAGATTAATATGGAATTAAGTGTAATTCGTTCAAAATATCCTTCTTCACTTCACTGAGAGATCACAAAATGTTGAGTTATTTTGATTGAATTCCAGTTCTGTTTTAGTTAAAGGATTTTATCATGAGCTGATATCGGTTAGAGAACCATTGGAAAACAAGTTGGGAGGATTAGACAGCCATTTCGTCCCAGCTTGAGACTCTTCATCAGTACACACCCATAGTGATTCGAACCTAGAACCTTCTGGCTACAAGGCTAGCGAAACCACTAGCCACTGTCTTCTGTAGGTATCTGTCCCCACGCTCGCCTTTAAATCCCAGTGGGTGCGTACTATGAAGAAGCCTAAACTAGTCGGATGAAACAGCTGTCTAGCACTCCCAGCTTGTTTTCCAATGGTTCTCTAGCCGATGGCAGCTCATGATGAAATCCTGTAAGCAATCAATCAAATCCCTACAAACCAGTACGTGAATTCTTTTTCAATTATACAGACAGGTTGTAGACGGTATTATTCTCTGCTGAAATGTATCTCTTGATTGCTTAGAACTCATATAGACGGAACAGAGTTTGCCGATTCATGGAAATATATTGTCTGAAAGTCAAGTCCTGAGACCAATGAGATAAATCTACCGGCTGGAAATGAGCGGATAAGC